TAAAAAGTATTGAACTGGATGCCAAACCAAGAGTAGTTTGATTATTATATTTAGCACAAAGATAATTGTTGTAAATGTTTCATATAATTTGAGAAGTAATGGTGATCTAAATGGTCTTATATTTCTTTACAGAGGACGTAATATTATCAAACAAACATCTGATTTTCTTTTGCACATAAAAGAAACGCCTGTTACCATGACCATTGCACGTGCACAATACACATATGGACATGAATGTTTATGATGGGGCTTAGATAAAAAAAATGCCACTTAATACGGTATCATCCATGGTGTTGCTAGCATAACAAACGATTAGCTTTCAGAGAAATTGAAATATATGCACCTCTAAAAAATTCATGGTACGACTATTAACTTAATTAGTGAATGTTTTGCCTTTAGCTATTTGAAATTGGCACTTGCTAGTGAGAGATTAGTGGGCTGGTGGCACAATTAATGAGCTCTTATAACATTCTTCCTACTTTAGTATTTAAGCTACAAGCTTAAACACATTGGGAAGAGACCTCTAAAGAGGAGGAGACAACGGCTTTACTACTAGTTTGCCGAAAACAAATGCTAACTTGGTTCTTCAAATGATGGTAGAGGCAAACAAGTGGGTCGAATATTCTCTTTGCTAATGATGAGCAGAAGATTAATTAGGCTGTATGCATCGCTCTGATGCAGAGGCCGGGGAGATCCCCCTTTTCGAAAAAAGAAGATTAATTAGGCTATAGACAGTAGCTAATTGAGAGCTTAGCATGGTTCAGTATGCAGCACGAGACTTAATCACAGGCAATTGTCAGCGATATGATATTATTAATTTTCAGTTAACAATATGCTATTAAATTAAATGTGGCTTAAAAAAGAACAACTGTTAACTACTAGAGTATATTTTTCTGTGATTGCGTGTTACGCTAAGATTTGCATGTTGGGTTAGTGTTCTTGATAAATTTAATAACTATGTCATGGCTTCTGTTTTGGTCCATCAGTTGTACTAAATGCTTTAGTTTATCTCATCTAGTTAGTTACATCAGACAAGAAGTTAATTGGATGCTTGGTGGTTAGGGTTTAGCGGTTAGCTAGTTTAATCACGTCAAAACATGACAACGATGGGCAATCATGAAACGACTTGTCCTCCCTATTCATAACCCTTCTCTCTAGGGAGTAGTACGTGCATCTTCTTGATATGCTAATATTTTTGTTATGCCAATGATGTCACCGATTCTTAATCAGTGCGATTGAGCTGCATCTTAGTGACAAAATTACTAAGCTTATCCATATGATAATTGCCATGGAGCAGGGGCACGTTTGCACACAATTAAAAATAATTAAGTTTGGTCAAGTGCTTACTAGCTAGTGAAATGATGTAGTAGTAATTCTAGCCCAATGCAATGGACCAAGAGTGCTGGCAAACACTGACGGATTCCAAGTGTGGTTTTATTCCAACACCAGATTTGCTTCATGGATTGGTGACAACACTGACAGCCAAGGCCAAGCCTTTTTATTCCCGCATTAACTCAGCTGTGATCTCTCTTGTCTGAAATTAAGAATGTTCAATGTATTTAGCATGGTTTTTCTAAGTAGACTGATTCAGTTTCAGTAATCAACCGGGAGAAAGCGCGCATAGTTTGAAGTAGGTTCAATGCACTAGCAATAACAGGAGAAACACATGAGGGTGGATATCTAATTAAATCAAAATGCGCACTATCTTAAGAAATCAGAGAAATGATGACACACAGCAGGAAACTTCCTTCTCTCTTTTTGTAAACCAAGAGTCAATCAACATTAGTGGAGAAAAATCGGTACATTGCTGTTAATTAGTCATATGTCAACCTGTCATGTCATGTCATACCAAAGCGAATGTCAACTGCCTTAGCTGACAATGAGTTAGCACTTAGCAGCAAGTTATGTGTCTGGGCAAGGACAAAAGAGTAGTATGCATTTTACTACAGTTTTCTCTTGCAGTGATGCTTGTTTCCTTTTCTTCTTGATGTTAACATCAAATATTCAAGCAGAGAAATATTTCATATCTTTGACCTCTAGCCGACAAAACACGTTACGCGAACCCATTCTCTCTCTATCCTTTTATTTTTGCTACAAATGAGGTTCCTTTTCCAGTTAAGAATGGGTTCACAATGCGTTTAAACAACAAATTTTGAGAAATAGAGCGTATGGTTCCTATTGGTCCAGCAATGGCATGCAGACAAGAACAGTACAAACCATCTGTCCATTGACTTGTTAGAGCTACCATTTTTTTTAAGAGAACAGTACTGTACAGATTTCGAGAATAGCCTCTCTCTCTGACCATGAGAAGAACTGTACTAATCAAGTAGTGAAGTTAAATTGAAATGTAAGTACACACAAAGTACGCCGACTTCCGTTAACAACGCAGGATGCCATCATATAAGTGGATGATTCAAGTTGACTGATTGCGCTATCATTTGCAAATATGTCCAGAGTTTTCTGAAGTGTAGTTCTACGCTCATTGATCTGTACCGAACAACAAGGACAATTAAACCGGAAATTCAGTACAAGCAAAGTATGATAAATTCGATAAGTAAGCGTATGGTACCAAACTACCAATCAGATGAGTGGACATACCTTATCGTCGCAAATTGTTTTGCAAAGCACATAGTACAATTAATAAGCAGTTGATGGAATAATCTTTTGATCTTAAGATCCAGAAGAGATTCTGATCTACTTTGCCAATTGGGCCCTAACACCTCATCCGGATGGGCGACACGGGTGGCGCCCTAGATCCCTCCCCTCACGGCGTCCTCTGCTATTGATCTCCTTGCCGCGGACGTCTGCCCTCTTGCAATAGGTTTTCGCTCCACTTTATAAATTTAATTTGACCTTTATTGCTTTGATACATTGCCATACAGCGGTGAGGAAACCGTCAGGCAAACTTCGTGTGGCTGACCACGGTGGGGGGCTTGGGGAGGATCCACCGTGCCTTCTGTTGCAGTTTGATCTGGCCTTTACCGCTTTGATACATTGCCATACATAACCAATTAAGGTTAGAACTATGGTTGTGAAACTTAACGTTGATGCTTCTTTTGACCACGACCTGCTTAGGGGCACGATGGGGGTGGTTTTGAGAGATGAAAAAGGTAGGTTTATCGTGGGAGGGAACGGGAAGATTGACTATTGCGCAGATGTGTTGATGGCGGAAGCCTCAACTCTTAAATTTGGTATAACATTGACGCAAAGGGCGGGATGTAATCGTCTTATTATTAACTCGGACAACCTGGAGGTGATTGATACCATGAAGAACGGAGGACAGTCGGCGGGTGCGGCAGTGGCAATTTTCGACGATTGTTTTCATTATGTTTGTGACTTCGTTGCTACTAGATTCGAACACTGTAACAGAGAAGTAAATAAAATAGCTCATGAGCTTGCGAGTTTAGCTAGATTTTCGTTGATTTCTGATTGGTTTAAGGAACCTGTAAATGAAATTGTAATGACCCTCACAAACGATGTACTTTTTATCTCTAATGAATAAATTTTTCGTTTATCTCAAAAAAAGGTCAGAACTATGGTTTTCATTGTGAGAAACTCATGATCTGGCCTTTACTGCTTGAATTTGACAATAGCAGTGTTAGCGCACCGTTCCCTTTCTGAAGGTGTTGCTTTTGGAGAACCGTTCTTGCAGTCTTAGTGTTGTCAAGGGTAGTCGGTGTGGCAGCTTCGCGTGAATCATTGTTGCTTTTTTTTTTCCTTTTTCTCTATATTTTTAATGATTGGGCTATATGCATCTTTGATGTGTAAATATAACTCTTGATATCATGTCGTTGCTAAGACTCGGTTTAAACAAGTTTGGTCCACTAACGGAGGCCCACGGGTGGCAACGAGGTTTGCTCACGACGCGCCACCAGTAGATGCGGGTGGAAGAAGACTTCGGCACCCCCAAAGATTTGTATGTGTTTTTCAATTTTTTGTAAGGATGCTTTTGTAAGGGTTTTTTTAAAATACTTTTGTAAGGGTTTTGGCACCCCCAAAAATTTGGATGTGTTTGGCCAAAAAAAGGTGTGTCTTTCTTCGGCATGTAAAGAACTTAATTACATTCATATTGATCATTGTTGTTTTGTACCTGGTGCAAGATTGGCCACTACTTACAAGTTATTTGATCACTGCTATTTTGTACATAGTGCAAGATCGATTGGCCACCACTTACAAATTATGGGGCTACTGCTATTTTCTTTACATAAAAGAATTCGCCACAATCTTAAAACCACATCGAAATCCTATAATTGAACTCACATGCAATTTTAAGAATGAAGGCAGAAATTCTGTTCTCCCCCATGTTGAGGATCTGACAGCTCTTCAAGTTACAGGAAATGGCAGCAACGTAGTAGTGCCTGCAATGCAACCTCCATGGGAAGCACAAGATCACACAGGCATCAACTGGTATCTATCTATCTACTGATCTCAATAACAACCACACGAACTAAACTCCCATAATGATCCTGGCTGCTTCCAACCTCTCGGCTCAACCTCAACCCCTCAGCTCACCACCACCGCGGCCACCACTTCCCACGTCCCACAAGACGAGTGATTGTGCAATTGCCAAGCCAATCTCCTCATCACCTCCAACATAAACATATCTTCCCCGGACGATAAACAATATCGGCACACCGTCGCGGCATAATTGCGCATGAGGGTCTTGTTTATGCCGTCGATATCAAGATCAAGAATCCGGCGGCAACGCCTCAGCAGCGTCCCCACGGGACCGACGGACGGACGGTTTGACCCCGGAGATAACATTTCTTTGCTTCGAGACAGGCAACTAGGTGATGATAAGGTGATTGATTGTACATGCTTCCGTACTTTGTCAACAATAGAGGCAAGGCCAAGCCTCCCCGCAGGGCTGCACCCTACAAATACCCTGCACAGACCCACGGCAGAAGCACTCAAGTCAAGGCATTCTCTCTCTAAAGCTAGTATACTGCCCTCCCTTGCATTGAGCGGTTGAGCCTTCCCTTCCAATTCTCCCAGCTGAAATGGAAAGCTCCTACAGTTCAGCCATGCCGATGGAGACCGACACGATGTCGCAGTTCCTCGGAGGCGACCACCACTGCTTCGCCTACGAGCAGCAGGACGAGTCCATGGAGGCAATGGCGGCCATGTTCTTGCCTGCCCTCGACACCGACTCCAACTCCTCCTCTAGCTGCCTCAACTACGAGGTGTCTCCACAATGCTGGCCACAGCCTCAGCCTCAGCCCGGCCACAGTTCCAGCGTCACCAGTTTCCTTGATCCGGGCCACGGCTACGAGAGCTTTGAGTTCCCGGTTATGGACCCCTTCCCGCATTCCGAATTCCAGTCCCATTGCACCGACATCCCCTACCTCGGCGGCGGCGGCGAGGATCTGAGTCCTCTAGACAGCAACTGTGCACCAGCCGCAGGTGAAGAAGCAGCGAATGATCATATACCTGTGACTAACAAGAGGAAGTCCAGAGCTGCCACCACGGTAAGCTTTCAGAAATTTCAATGGATTGGTTACTTAATTCAGTTGCAATGTTGCTTTGATCCATACTTATCATAATTATGTACTGATGCAGGCATCAAAGAAGGCCAAAAAGGCTGGCAAAAAGGATTTCACCAGCAACGACATCGAAGGCGACGACACCTATGTCATCGATCCTCAAAGCTCCAGCAGCTGCACCTCAGAAGATGGGGATTTGGATGGCAACACCAAGTCGAGCTCCAAGAAGACAGGCACCAGAGCCAGCCGTGGAGCAGCAACTGATCCTCAGAGCCTCTATGCAAGGGTAAGTACTCAGCACACAACATCACAAAGTGCAACAAAAAAGATGATGAAGGCTGCATGGTTGATAAATGTTTCTCAATTCTAATGGGTGTAAAATTGATATCAATTCTGCAGAAAAGGAGAGAGAGGATCAATGAAAGATTGAAAACCCTGCAGAACTTGGTTCCCAATGGAACAAAGGTAGGTTCCTGTCTGGGATGTATTGGTCTGCAAGGACCTATAATTTGTACCTATATATCTTGGTACTATAAATTGAGGTCTAACTTGGATTAATCTGGCTTGACAGGTTGACATCAGTACAATGCTAGAGGAAGCAGTGGAGTATGTTAAGTTTATGCAGCTTCAGATTAAGGTGTGTAACATCAACATCTACATTTCCTTGTCAACCGACCAAATATTTGTCATAACCAAATGTACTAAATTTTGATCAAACATTTATGTGCAGTTGTTGAGCTCCGACGACATGTGGATGTACGCACCCCTCGCTTACAATGGGATTAACGTCAGCAGTCTTGAGATGCACATCGCTGCTCTGCAAAAATAAATACCACTCTGGAGATGTGGCGCTAGCTAACACTGAACTGCATAGGGATTAATTGATTCTGGTCCTTATATATAGTTCCAATCATTATACATGTATAATGTAACTACACTTTGTTTTACTTCATACTTTTCTTGGCATTTCCTGGGAGTTATACAAAGAAGTAATCATAATCATGTAAATGATCAAAGGTCACAATGATATGATTGGCTTCACATTTCAGATCATTCTTTTTCATGTCACAGGGTTATGATTTGTAACTCTAACTTATTAACTGTGTTGACATTTGAATGTATGCATGACTTCATAACAACACTGGGTAAAAAAGGAAGGGCAGAAAATATACCAGGGTCCCAGTTACCACCGGTAATTTACCACCAAGTATTCAAACAAAACTTGGAAGTCACTCAAATCTGAGTATAAAGTTCGTTAAATTTGCACAAACTTCGTTCAAACCGGTATGACTTTCGATGGTCGGTTACCATAACCTCCAGAACACCACCTTGAATGCCCATTCTTTCTGTGGCTCGATCTCCCTCAGTCACAGACACTTATTCATGTTACTTGATGTGTGACGATGATCCACTTACATTAACTTCTGAAATTGTTCATTCTGTTTCTGTCTAGAGATTACCTAGTTACTGCCACTAACAACTAATTCTCCTCTTCAGTTACTGCACTATTCATACTCTCTAGCGCTGTCGCAGCATACTGGACATGCCTTAGGAGCGCCCCGTAAATCTTCCTCCGAACCCTCTCGCACGCATCGTTCTCCTCTTCCTCGGAAAACGCGCAGTCCCTGCTGCTTCTATCTCCCGGCCCCGGAAGCATCCTCTCCTGCCGCACGACATGGTTGAGCCAGTCGTCCACTCTCTTGAGCTGCTGCAGAAGCCCCGCGATCTGCGAATCGCACGTCGTCGTGTACCCGGCCTCGTTCTCGACGTCGTCCAGGAACTTGTCGATGTACTTGAGGAACCACCGGTTGCATTCCGACCGCAGCGCGACGGCCAGGTCCATGGCGGCACTCAGCTTGCTCCCTTGGAAAGAAGCGTCGGCAGCTTTCCTCGAGGAGGACTTGCTGTTACAGTTGCACTTTGTCTTGGAACAGCAGAGCCGTGGGGTGACAGGCTTTGATTCGGACGGCGATGCCTTTGCGGATTCAGAGGTGGCTCTTGTATGGCTAGAGAGAGGTGAGAGGTCGGCTTCAATGGCTGCTCTGACCCACGAGATGGCGGACTGTTTCCTGTCCAGCGCGGCCTTCATGGCAGCCTTGGCCGAAGCCGAGGAGGTCGAATTGGAACCACCTGACTTCGCTTGACGAAGCCTGGTCTGTGATTGAGCGACGAAGATGGCATGGTCCAGTTCTTGGGAGAAGCGCAAGAACCTGTCGATGAGCTCCTTTGGGTCGTCGTCCTTGTCAGATTGCAGTTCAGAGTATGTACTGCAAAAGGAGGGATCAGACATGAAATGAGTTTGACTGCTGTTCTTTCAACATTCATATCAAGTTTGCCTGAGCTTTCATTTTTGCTCACCTCAAGCATTTTATCAACTTCTCGGTGGTGGATGCCTCTAGCAATCCATCAAGCACAGCCTGCAGCGCCATGTCTCTCTGCTTCACTGTCTTATCAGCAAACAGAACTTACTTTCTTCAGATAACAGGAACAGAAGACAGCAGAATGTACCTTGCCATGCCTCGTTAAGCTCGAGGAGAGCGAGCTCCACAGCACATTGTCCTCGCACCACCGGATCCCGCTCGTCGCACCGGTGCTCCGCGGTGTCCCCGCCGCGCTGGAGCTCTCTCTGGGCGTCTTGCTTGAGGCGTGCGCGCTCCTCTTGGAGAGCACCTTGAATGCCTTCTCGGCTTTCCTTCTCACCGACTCCAGTGGGTCATTCGTGGTGCCGCTCTGGTTTGGGCCTGATCTCCCTGGAGAAATCTACAGCGTACAAAAATGAAAAATTGACTGAATTAGAAGGTTGAGTTCTTGGGAAAAAAATTGGTCACACAAATTAGAGAAATGGCTATACACTATTGCTGCGTCTCTGGGGGCCGACGGGTCTTATGCTGCCGGTGAAATCCCAGTTCCTCCTCGTGGTGGAAATCGACGACGAGACGTCCGATTCGTCATCGTCGACGTCGCTGCTGTTGCCGTCGATGGACGCAGCGCTGACCTTCCTGACCTTCTTCAGGAAATCGGCGCCCCTCCGCTCCCCCTCGCTCCTCCTCACCGGCTTTACCGCCGCCGCGCACGCCTCGGACAGAGTCGTGAACGACCGCGACCTGTGGCCGTGGCCCATCGTGGCAGGGGAGCCGGACTGCCACGCCTTCCTCTCCGGGAGGGGCGGCGTCGGCGAGGGCCGGTGCGGACGCGGGCGCGGGCGCGGGCGCTCAGAGACGACCTCCTTATCCTTGACCTCGGCGCGGGCGGAGCAGGCGTCGGCGTCGACGTCGTCGTCCGTGGAGTCGTGCTGGATGCAGGGGTACCGCCCCGGGAGGACGCGGAAGCTGCGGAGCACGGGAGCTGGGACGGAAGGCATGAGGTGGTCGACCTCGATGACCTGGCCGATGTGGAGGCCGTTGGCGAGGATGAGATCGTCGTGGTCGGCGTGGAGGGAGACGTAGCAGGAGCGGGACGAGTCGGAGAGGCGGAGGTAGAAGCCCTGGTGGCCCGAGAATGGGTCGGCGCCGGTGAGCGCCGGCGTGATGTTGGTGACCTGGAGCAGGACGCGGCCGTTGGAGCGGGCACGGGCGCGGGAGCGCGGGGTGGGGGCGTCGTCGGTGTCGGAGGGGTCCGGCGGGCGGAGCAGGCGCTGCAGGCTGCCCGGCCGGAGCGCCGGCCGGTGCGGCGAGGGGTACGAGGCCGGCGGTGGCGCCATCTGACGGCGGGGTCGAGGTGGGGGTGGGGAACGGAGAGGAGAGAGGAAGCCGGCGCGAGATGTTCGGCTGATTGATGGGTTGGGAGGAGCCGAGCAAGGTTTGTGGCGGGCGATGCGGCGGTGAGTTTGAACGGCGGTTCGGCCGAGCACGGGGCCTCAACTGCCTGGACTTGGTATTTGTTAGAGTATTGTTAACATTGGGCCCTTCTTCTATTCCCACCTTCCACAAGATGAATCCTACATAAACTTCAAAACGCCAGGCCCAGTAGGGATGCGATTGGAGTTTTCTCTACTAAAAAACTTATCACAGAGCAACTAGTTAACGAGCACTCCTTCAAAAGACTCGCAACAATTAGCGTCACTTGACGCGCTCTTATCCATTCGCCACGTGTCGCGCTCTGTGCGCTTCCTTCGGATTTTGGTTTTTATTTTATTTTTCCCCACGTGTTTTTGGCTTTTTAAACCATTTTTTTCGGATTTTTTCAACGTTTTGGTTTTTCATCGGTCTTCGTTAGCTTTTCAATAAAAAAAATTCACAAGAAAACACGTTTTCTTTTCTTTTTCTTTCGCGAGAGTCTCGGTTTTGCTTCCGCGAGAGACACGATTTGGCTTTCGCGAGAGTCACGGCCGTGCCTCTCGAAAACGGAAAAAAATGTGTTTTCTGTTTTTTTTCTTTCGTGAGAGTCACGATTTTACTTCCGCGAGAGGCACGGGTATGCTTTCGCGAGAGTCAAGGCCGTGCCTCTCGGAAACGGAAAAAAACATGTTTTCTATTTTTTTCTTTAGCGAGAGTCATGGTTTTGCTTCCGCGGGATGCACGGTTGTGCTTTCGCGAGAGTCACGACCGTGCCTCTTGGAAAGGGAAAAAACACGTTTTCTAGTTTTTTTTTCTTTCGCGAGAGTCACGGTTTTGCTTCCGCAAGAGACACGGTTGTGCTTTCATGAGAGTCACGGTCGTGCCTCCTCGCAAACGAAAAAAAACGCATTTTCTCTTTCTTTTTTTCCTTTCATGAGAGTCACGGTTTTGCTTTTGCGAGACACACGGTTATGATTTCGTGAGAGGTATGGGCGTGTTTCTTTCGAAAAGGAAAAAAACCTGTGCTCCCGGTTCAGTTTTTTCGTCCGGTTTTTTTTGTGAAAAAAGTTCGTCAAAACCTATCAACATAGGATCTAGTTTTGAAGATCTCGACGCGAGGAATCCAACGGTGAAAGTGGTTCGAGATTTGGACGCACGGTTTGAGAGATAAAACATTTTGAATAAACGGATCTATGAAAAAGGGAAAACTCCCAGGTTGCGACAAGTGGCGTGCTGCATGTGCGCCACTTGTCGTAACCAGGGGAATTGGAGTGATCTTTGCAACGAGTACTCCTCAATTAGTGATTTTGAACTTATTACCCCTCATAAAAATACTAAAAAACTTATAAAAACTAAAAAAACCTTAAAAAAACTTATCCCTACTCCTAATCCCTACTCTTAATGGAGCAGTTGGTAGGCTGTCATCCACGATTTTTTTGTCGCCCCCTTTTCGTCTGGTTTTTTCGTCCCCTCCCCCACCGTATTGGTTATTTTCACGTCATCCTCTCACATAACGGAAAACAATCTAAACGGATCAGAACTTTCCATGCTGACGTAAATTACTTAGTAATGACTTTATGTGAAAGAATCAATCACGATCAATTTCTAAAGATCAAAATTAATTAACCTTACCTTAAATTGCTCAATCACATTAATTAGGAAACAAATAATTGTTGGGTAACACATTAATTTCAAAAAAAAATCCTACGCACATGCAAGATCATGGTGATGCATAGCAACGAGAGGGGAGAGTGTTGTCCATATACCCTCATAGACCGAAGGCGGAAGTGTTATGACAACGCGGTTGATGTAGTCGTACGTCTTCACGATCGACCGATCCTAGTATCGAACGTATGACACCTCCGCGATCTGCACACGTTCAGCTCGCTGACGTCCCACGAACTCACGATCCAGCGGAGTGTCGAGGGAGAGCTTCGTCAGCACGACGGCGTGATGACGGTGATGATGAAGCTACCGACGCAGGGCTTGGCCCAAGCACTACGATGATATGACCGAGGTGGATTATGGTGGAGGGGGCACCGCACACGGCTAA